CTATAGGGTTTGGAGGCCCTACCCTGCCCCTGCCCTAACTTGCTGTGTGATCTTGAGAAAGTCATCTGCACTCTGAGGCTCAGCAGTGGATCTGTCTGCTCCTAGGATCATAGGAGATATGATTGGAGAGTAAGTTGGGCCCAGACCTCTTGTCTCTGGTGGAGGAAGCAGGAACTGAAAGATGCCCCAGAATCATGTCCTTGCCCCAGGCAACCAGCACCACAGGTGCTGCCAACCAAGGCTCTAAGCTAACCGTCAGAGCCTGCCCCAGGCTTGAGCAACGCCCTCCTGCTCCCCCTTCTCTGTCTCTCTCTGCGGCAGATCATTTGTTCATTCAACAAACATCTACTGAGCAATCACCAGGAATCTGGTGGGCGGTGGTAGACAGACACACACACATGGGTCCTTATACCAGGCAGACTATAGCTGTGCCCTGTGGGTGCTGGGCGTGAAGGAAGGAAATCCTGCTTGGGAGCATAGAAAGCCTGGTGAAACTCACAGGTAAAGAGGGACAGCATCTCAGACGGCACAACCTGAGTCCAGGCCTGGAAGTAGATAACTTCAGGGTGCATTTGGGGGGTTCTGGTGGGGCTGGAGGGTGCAAATGTGGGAGGTGCGACTGGAGGCTAAGATGGGCCAGACCTATAGGGCCTCGACTTTTCGGCAGGAGTCGGACAAGCTCAGATCACTTCTCAGAAGGCTCTCCTTGGCTCCAAACCTCCTCCCATCCTCACGTCAGCCCCCTGAGGTCTTGGTGGTAATTCCTGCTTTCACAGAAACTGCAGTTTCAGAGAAATAAACTAAAGGGTCCACGGTCTCCAGAGCTTAAGTGGCAGAGTTGGGGCCAAGACCCTATGCTGAGGGCCAGGGACCTTGGGGAGTGGGGGACACATTGTAAGGGTGGAGCTGAGGCTATCATGGCTAAGGCAGTTTTTTGCAGTTTTTCCTTCTGCAAAATGGACACATTGGGAGGGCCCTCCCCAGTTGGGTGTCCGGCTCTCTGCTCCCCACGGCCTGGGACACCCAACTTCTGCCTTAGAGAGGCCACCCACCCACTCCCCCTCAAAGGGCCTAAAAGGTCATGCCTTCCCCCTGACATTTTCCCCAAGGCCCCTGTCCTGATGTCCCTACATTAGCCCGTCCCACCTCAAGGGAGTCTGGCCCTGCCCGCTCTGGTCTTTAAGCTAGACGCTGCTCATCCGTCATTAGTCACCAGCTGGTAGAAAAGCTGAGACCATGTCCTATCGCGGTCCCACCCACCACTGCCCAGCCCTCCCTCCACTCCCAACTCAGCCAGCCAAGAGGATCTCTGGTCTAGGGGTCCCTTGTCCTTAGGGAAGAGCTGATTCAGCTAGGGCTTGGGATCCCGACTGAGCTGTGTGACCTCAGGCAATCTCCCCAACCTCTCTGAACCTTAAGTTCTTCCCTTCCTTTCCTTCTTCCTTTTATTCTGATTCATCCCCACACCACCCACCCCCACTCCCACCCCCATGCCATAGACATTTATTGCACATCTATGATACACCAGACACCATGGGTCACAATCATGGGCCACAGCCCTTAGAGGTCTTACTTGCCAAGAGCTTTAAGACTAAACATGACCCAGGCCCCTGAGGCCACACTCCTAGTGGGTGGGAATGGAGGGTGTAGGGGTGGGATAGGACTGACCTCTGAACCCTGGAAAAGCCAGCAGAGGCTTTTGAACGAAGCCCAGGTTTCACATCCCCACTTACTGACTGTGATCTCAGGCAAGTCACTTCACCTTTCTGAGCCCCCGTTTCCTCATTTAATAAAGGACAAAAATCATATCGTAATTTTAAGTGAGACATCTGGCCGGTAATGGGTTATTCTGAAGTTCTAAAAATTCACCTTTGTCTCCACCTCGAGACCTGGAAATCCTTATGGAATGAAGGACTGATCCCTCGAAAGGGGGAATACAGGCCTCAGTCAGTGACCCTAGGAACTGGAAGTTCTAAGTAACCCTCACCAAATAGTCTACATTGTTTGCAACCTGCTTCACCTACACACGTCGGAATCTTCCTTTTGTGGGGAAAGGGGAATCCTGACTCTATTTTGTTCATCTTTGACGGCACTGGTTGCTGGGCGTGGGCTTTCTCCAGCTAAGGGGTGCAGAGGCTACTCTTCACTGAGGGGTGCAGGCTCACTGCACTGGCTTCTTTGTTGCAGAGCATGGACTCTACGTGTGGGTTCAGCAGTTGCGGTGCACAGGCTTAGCTGCTCCTCAACATGTGGGACCTTCCCAGATCAGGGAAGATAAAACCCCTGTGCCCTGCAGGCAGATTCTCAACCACTGAACCAACCAGGGAAGTCCCAGAGTCCTGCCTCTTGATGACATCATCATAGAAAAGTTTTAGGTGATACTGAACACTTACTATGTGCCTTCCGTTGCACAGATGCTATCTTTAATTCCCAACAATGGTGACTCTTATTATACCCATTTCAGAGATGAGGAAATTGAGGCTTGGAGATAATTTCTAGTAATTTACCCAGGATCATACAGTCAAGATGACGTCAACTGTGCCCTGCCCTGCACTTCCCCTGCAAGGGATGATGAAGGACCCCTTCCTGCACTGTCTGGGGACCTTGAGCCCATAACTATGCTCCCTGGACCTCAGTTTACCCCTCAGTAAAAGGCTTTTGAATTTTTTACTTGCCCAATGAGATAAGACAAGGCAACATTTCCCAGGCCTTCTGAACAGATGCAAAAATGGAGTCCCAGAGTGAGGCAAAGGCCCCCTGGTCAATAAGCCTGGAATTCAGGTCTTTGGGCCCAGCCTGGGTTCTGGTCTTTATTCACCACTTCTCAGAAGTCAGTTCTGACCCCAACTGTCCTAGGATTGCTCAAGGTCCTGCATCATGTAGGTAGTCACAGTTCTACAGAATCATGGAGAGGAAAGAAGAAGAGGTGGCTGTCTGGGTCAGGAACAGATCTGGGCCTGTGCCAAGCCCCAAGCCAGGCCCCAGGAACAACATGATGGGCATCCTAATAAGATTCCAGTCCATTCCTGCCCTCCAGGGAGCTCCCAAGTGGGGACAATAAAGAAAGATGAGTACCATGTGGAGAAGAACGTGTCATTTTCAAATGGAAAAGAATGAACAAAGGCAAAATTCATCCATTTCTTTGGGGCAAGCCTGGCTCTTATAGAAACACTTAACCTACAGCCTTCCTTCTGCAGAACCTGACTGTCCTCAGGCCTCCTGTCTCTCTTTGCAGTCCCTGTCCCTCAGGGCCAGGTTCTGGGACACATGGCATTTTTGCTCCAAAACTCAGACATCCCATTTATCTAGTGCTCACCAGGCAATAGTTACCCAACCTTAGTCATTTTGGTTGAGTCTTATGCCAGGACTAAGAGGGAGGAATTCTTGCCCCCATTTTGCAAAGGAGGAAACCTAAAATACCTGGAGACCCAAAATTCCTGCCCGTGGCTCCATAGTGGGATCTCAGACCCTGGCTTCTTGAGTGATATTCACTTGCGCCTCTTCCTCCTCAGAGCTCTCATCAGCTGCAGGGGACACTTTCTACAACAACCTATAAAATGGGGCAATTACAAGGTTCACCCGTGGGACTATTTTATGGGTCGGCAGGGCCCCAAATCGTTGTGTTTGTTCACTAAGATCCCAGGCAGGGTCCATTTGACTCAGGGACAAACATCTATTGAAACAACACAGGTTTACTCCCTGAGCTGTGTCACACAGGAATGGAAACTGGGGCCAATTTTGTAAGCCCCAATCCATCAATAGATATGGAACTTACAGGAAGTTCCATTCAGGAAGAAGGGCTGGGGGAGGCTCACAGGCTTCTGTTTCCCCAGGGACCCTTCCTGCTCAGGACTCAGGGTGGATAAAAAGCATAGAAGGCGGGAGGCTCAGAGGAAGGAGACTGGGTGATGCCTCCTACCCCCAGATGCTAGGAGTGAGAGGGCAGAGGTTGAGTCCCTGGGATATTGGCTTTGTCTCATTCTGGCACAGGGTGGGCCTGCAAGGAGCATCATCAGTGGAAGTGAGAGGGAGAGGGGTAAATGGATGATGGATGGATCGATGGATGGATGAGTGGATGGATGAGTGATTAGATGGATGGATAATTAGATGGGACAGAGGAACAGATGAGCTAGAGAGATGTCTGGGTTTTGCTACAGAGACAGGTGTGGTATGTCTGTCTTTGCGGGTGTGTCTGCATGTCTGTACATGAGGCCGTGTCTGTGTGTGTGTCCCACAGCCAGGATCTGCACCTTTGTGCATCTCTAGGTGCCCCAATCTGATTTTGTGTCCACCTCTGACAGTGTGTTGTCTGTGTGTGTCTGGGAGCTGGGTGCCTCCGGACACCTGCTTATTTCTGTTTGGTTCTCAGTGGGTACCTGTCCAGGTGTGTCAGGCTGTGTCTACATACAGGTATGTCTCTGATTCCAGGTGTGTGTGTCCAGGTTCATCTGCTGTACCTGTCTCTGTCTGTGTGTCCACATCCCTAGGTCTCCGTGAGTCTGTATCTGAGGATGTGTGTGTCTTCTTGATCCTGGGTCTGACCTGACTGTGGGTCCATATCTGTGTGTCCAGGTAGGCCTGTGTGTCCTGATGCAACAGTGTGTCTGTACCTGTGTGGCTGTGTTTCTCTATCTGTGTGTCTCTGTCACCCAAGATCTGACTCTGTATATCCAGGTGTGTCTGAGTGTCCCGGCCTGTGTCGTGTGTGGCTGTTGTCCCCGCCCTGCGCTCTGTCGGCCTCCCCAGAGGGCGCTCTTGTCCAACCTCCTCACTTCCTCCCTGGGCTCCTGCCTCCGGGGGCGCCCCTGCCGGCTGGTGGAAAGCGCGTGGGCCCAGGCCGGGCAAAGCCGGCCCCCGCGCGGCCCCGCGGCCCCGCCCCCAGCCCGCCCCTAAGCGGGCTATAAGTTCACTTCGCTCTCAGCCTCTGCATTGCCCGCTGCCAGTGGTCTGCACTTGGAGTGTCCTGGCCCCAGTCCGAGGAGCACAGCCACCACCTGACCATGGCCGAGGGTGAGTATCAGAGTCAGGGGTGCCGTCGCCCCGCAGGGGCCCCAGGATCCAGGGGCCAGCCATCTCTCCTTAGTCTCGGTGGTCCCACCGGTGTAGTGGGGGGTCAGGACCCGGCTAGACTCAATTCCTAAGCCCCCGATTTGGAGCACACACAGGAAGGCTGGGCTGGATTAGAGGTGCCTGGCCCCCAGTTCTGGCTCTGCTTGGGACCTCAGTTTCTCCATCCCCAGGGCATATTCATTAACCCATGCCTCCCTGGATCAGATGAGGCAATGGACCACGGAGGCGTGTTACAAACTGTAAGGTACCTTGTTCGCGGACCATTGTCAGTCATCCTCAGTCTGTTAGTGAAGCCTGGCTCCCTGCTGCGAGCTGGGCATGAAGCTGTGCAGAGGGTGCTGGCCTGGCCTCGGGGACTGAGCTTTGGTTAGTCCCTCATGGTGTGTAAGCCAAGCCTGGCTGTCTTCTTGGTCGCAGCGGGTGGAGAGGAGCGCCTTGCATCCAGTGGAGGAGAGGCCTGAAAGCAGGCTTGCTCTCGCAGGTCCCTCCCTGCCTCCAACCTCTGCATCCCCTGCCCTTGGCCACTGGTTGAGTCTCGGTTTCCCATCCTGTAAAACACGGACAGTAACACCAGCCACTGGTACATCTGTGAGGAGAGGAGTGGAGAAGGGGCTCAGTTCATTTCCTACCTCCACACACGCAGACACAGACACACAGACAGACAGACAGACGGACACACGCATGGGCAGGACTACCATTTCAGAGGCGAGATCCCTACGATGGGGGACGCACCTGCACTAATGCTACTGGACTCAGCGCCCTGACTGACTCTTGGGTCAGGTCCATTTGGAAGTGGCCGTGGCACCGCGCAGCCCCTAGGAAAGAGGGTGGGCGGAGGGGACGTTGGAAGGGCACAGGGGGCAGGTGGAGGGGGAATGAGTGGGAGGAACCATGGATGTGCCTGGCCGGCTGTGCGTTCTCAGGCCACCTTTGTCCCTCTCTGGGACCCAGTTTCCCAACACATGTACCTGAAAGCCAGCTGGGTGGCCGCTTGTGTCCCATGCAGTTTCCCATCCCTGTCCCCAAGAGTGGAGCTCAGTAGGGCTTGAGGACCTGGAGTGGCCAGTTATGATGAGCCCCCTACCCCATTGCCAGAGTGGGCCACTTCCTACCAGGGTCCCAATGGCCTGGAAGACCTCAGGTCCTTTCTCAGTACAGAAATCCTATGATCCTGGTGTTTTTGTACCTCTAGAGCTGGGCGACTTAGCAGCAGCAGAGCTGGGCATAATTTCTGGGAATCCTTCTTCACACAATAGTGTGAGACAGCGCCCCATGTGCCCCAGACCAGGATCTGACCATCTCCCACGGGGACAACAGATTTCAGAGGCGAGATCCCTACGATGGGGGACGCGCCTGCACTAATGCCGCTGGACTCAGCGCCCTGGGCCTCTTTGCTGCGTCAGCTCTCTGGAGTTGTAGTTTTCCTTCGTGAATTCACCTCAGGAGGCCATCAGGAAGTTCTTCCTTGTGGCTAGTGGAGGTCTCTCCTGCTGAGATCATGTCCTGCTGAGATTACAGGGGCCTCACCTTCCACCCAGGTGTGAAACAATGCAGGATGTGTGCGGCTGGGGTGGACAAGAGATCCTGAGCTGTGAGTGAGGTGGTTACCCGGCCGGGCTCCAGACTCTACAGCCCTGGATTCTGGATTCAAGTCCTCAAGCTTGGTCTTGCCCTTGCCATGAGACCTGGGACCACATAATGTCCCTACAAAGTGAAGATAGTGATAGTAACTGTGTCTGATGCAAAGAACCAACTCATTGGAAAAGACCCTGATGCTGGGAAAGATTGAAGGCGGGAGGAGAAGGGGACGACAGAGGATGAGATGGTTGGATGGCATCACCGACTCAATGGACATGAGCTTGAGTAAACTCTGGGAGTTGATGATGGACAGGGAAGCCTGGCATGTTGCAGTCCATGGTGTTGCAAAGAGTCAGACACGACTGAGCGACTAAACTGAACTGAAGTGGGCAGTTGTGAGTTTAAGTGGAGATAGCCCATGTCAAAGCCCTTGGCAGTCACTGGGCAATTTGTTTGCACCTCGTTTAGAGGATGTTCAGTGGCTGGAGGGAGGAGAACCGTGTGGATGACACCATGGGAGGACTCACCTGCCGGGTGACTTTGGCCAGTCCCTGCCTCTGGGCCTCAGTGGGAGCACTTACTCTTAAGGGCCCCATGGCTCTGGGAGTCCTGCCTTGCCCACTCCTCCCACCCTACTGTCCCTCTAATCTTGACCTTGATTGTGTCAGATTGAGCTTGCCAAGGTTATGAGACTTGTGTTTTCCTTAGCCCCTCACTGGCCTGTCACCCCATCCCTACTTTGGTCTTCAACTCCTTCAGAAATTATAAAGAGAACTTGCACACATCAAACTTTTGCCCTGGGCTAAGCCCTTGAAGCTTCAGAAAAGGAGGCACAGAGAGGGAGAGACACCTGCCGAGGATCACACAGCAGTACAACCAAACTGAAACCCAGGTCCAGAAGACTCTCAAACTCCTGTCATTAAAAAAAAATTTATTATAGAGAATATTGAGCACATATAAAAGTAGAGAGAATAGTGTAATAAATGCCTATGTTCTCATCACCCAGTTTCAACCACCGCCAGCTTATAGCTACTGCTGCTTCCTGTCCCTCATCACCCCCTCTTCCATTATTTGAAAGCAAATCCCATACATTGGGCTTCCCTTGTGGCTCAGCTGGTAAAAAAAATCTGCCTGCAATGTGGGAGACCTGGGTTCGATCCCTGGGTTGGGAAGATCCCCTGGAGAAGGGAAAGGCTACTCACTCCAGTATTTTGGCCTGGAGAATTCCATGGACTACAGTCCATGGGGTCACAAAGAGTTGAACATAACTGAGCGACTTTTACTTTCACTTCACTTCCCATACATCACATCGTTCATCTGTAAATATTTCAATATTTCTCTCCAATGAATAAGGACTCATATTTAGACATGGACAAATTAAAAATTCCTTAACATCACCATTTTCTATCAGTGTTCAAATTTCCAATTACGTGTAATAAATAGTTTTCAAGTTCAAAATCCAAGTAAAGCTCATCCAGCACAGTGGGTTATAATGTGCCTTAGGTTTCTTTTAGTCTATAGGTTATCCCTTCAACTTTTTTTTCTTGTCTTTTTTCTTTATTTCTTTCTTTTTTGCAATTTATTGGTTAAAGAAACCAAATACTTTGCTTGTAGTTTCCCAGAGTATGAATTTTGTTGATCAAGTGTGGGTCCTGGGACTTCCCAGGTGGTTCAGTGGTTAACAGTCCACCTGCAATGTAGGAGATGCAGGTTCGATCCCTGGGACGGGAAGATCCTCTGGAGGAGAGCATGGCAACCCACTCTAGTATTCTTACCTGGCGAATTGCATGGACGAAGGAGCCTTGCAGTCCATAGGATTGCAAAGAGTTGGACACGACTGAAGTGACTGAGCTTGCATGCATGTCCTGGTCCTAAATTGAATGAGTTCCTCAGCCCTCTGTATTTCCTGGAAATTGAAAATTAAACCTAAAAGGCAGAGTATAACTAACCAATACCAAATACCACCCCACTTTTTACCAAAAGAACCCTCCAGTCACAAAAGACTAGCCCGTGTCTAGAAGGTATGTTATTATGTGCCAGGCACTGGGCTAAACAGCTCACAGCCATCCTGGGTCCTACTCTCCCCCACTGTGGACTCAGATGGGGGAAGTGAGGCCCAGAAGAGCTGAGTCGCCTGAGGGCCACAGCCAGGGGGTGGCAGAGCCTTCCCCACTTGCCCCAGTGTGCACAATGTGTGATTAAGAGTTGGGGAGGACTTCCCTGCTGGTCCAGTAGTTAGAACTCTGAGCTTCCACTGCAGCAGGCCTGGGTTTGATCCCGGGTCAGGGAACTAAGGTCCCACAAGCGGTGTGGCATGGCCAAAAAAAAAAAAGAGTTGTGGACATTTAGGCCCGGTTAACTTCTACATGACAGGGCAATTGAGGGTTGGGAGGGCCCTGAACACCCCGTGTCCAGGGAGCCTGGGGCACACAACTGGCTGTGAGGTGGAACCTTGGCTCAAGCCCCTCTCTGTCTCCGCAGAGCTGGTCCTGGAGAGATGTGACCTGGAGCTGGAGGCCAATGGCCGTGACCACCATACAGCCGACCTGTGCAGGGAGAGGCTGGTGGTGCGGCGGGGCCAGCCCTTCTGGCTGACCCTGCACTTCGAGGGCCGAAACTATGAGGCCAGCGTGGACAGCCTCACCTTCTGTGCTGTGACTGGTGAGTACTACCCTCAACCCCTCCCTGTTCCGTGATTTAATTGTCCCCTGACACACCATGGGAAAGGTGACGCCATTCCTCCTCCTGGGAAGAAATTCCTGAGAAATTCTCAGGAATTTCCCTGAGAAATTCCCAGCAGTCACTACCCCATTTTACAGATGAGAGAACTGAGGCCCAGAGAGTGGAGAGATGTCATCCCACACCACTCAGCCTTATAGACAAGTCTGTGATTCTGGGTGCCTGGCTTCCTGACGACCTGTTATCACCAGGGTTGGGGGTGGGGGCAGCGTTTGCTAGCACACAGGTCCATCGAGATCCTGCCTGCCTTTTCCCAACTCCAAACAATTTTCCAATTATCAACAGCTTCTTCTCCAAACCCATACAACCTGACCAGGCCTCTGGGATCGGACCCAAAGGGAATCTGGGTGGTGGAGAGAACCCAGCTTTCTCTAGCTCTCTGAGTGGGCAGTTTTGTGTTCCCATAGTTCTTTCTCTAAGCATCAGGAGGCTGCCTCAGACTCACAGACTTGGATTCTGGTGTGGACCAGACTGCCTACCCACTGTGTGACCTTGGGCAAATTACTTAGCCTCTCTGAGCTAAAGCACTCCTAATAGAAAGTCCTTGGGTAAAAAGAGCCTGACATGAGGGAGTGCCCTGCAAACGTTCACAGCAGTTACTGATCTTGCTCCAGGGACTCTAGTGATGGGTGCAGGGACTTTGAGGCCCCAGCAACCCCATCCCCAGATACCCAATGCCCAGTCATCTTTGTTTGCCATATGCAGAAAGTGACCTTAAATGCCACTGGGTTTGGCTTCTGGTGGGAGCTACTCCCTTGAGGTCAGCGAGGGGCCACCTGGCTGGGAGTCTGGCCCGAGGGTGGGAAAGGCCAGCTCTAGCTCTTTCTGTGGTCTCTGAGGCCAGAGAGCAAGCAGGCTGAGGCTTGTATTACCTGGGAAGCCGTTTGATAAAGCTTATCACAGTGCCTGCAGACCCGCTACGGATATCCCCTCCATCCCTTTCCTCCCTCCCCTTTCCCTTCTGACAGGGACACACCTACTAACCAGGGGCATCCCCCCGACACACACTCACACCCAGCAGCCTTGGGGTTCATTCCATAGACCTGAGGGCCCTCTGGCAAGTTTCTGATCTTCCCAGTCTCAATTTCCCCTTCTGTAAAGTGGAAGCCTGAATCTATGGAACTTAAGGGCTGGGGGTGGTGTCCTGAGAAGAGTTAGGCTTGGGCTGGGGAGAATCACATCTGTGCTGTAAGTATACTTATCCAGAATCCTTCTGTTCTGAATGTGTAACTAGCCCCCATTTTACAGACGGGAACACTTAGGCTCAGAAAGGTCAGTTTACTTGCCTAGGTCACACAGCAGGATTCAAACCCTGACCCCAGAGTTGACGCTTTTTGTTGCTGTGATCTGAGAGCAGAGACATCTACTTGTTCACCACAAGGGCCTGCCGGCCTTGATTTATTCGTCTGTGAAATAGATGGTCGTTGAACTGCTGGTGTGGGGATTTCCCACCTTTTCCCCCTTCTTTCACTCTCAAGGTGTCTGATTTCTTCTTCCTTCTCTTCCATTTGTCTATAGGCAGCCTGGTGCTAGGTAATGAGGCCCCTAGTTCAGGGTTGGGACCACAACAGGAGGCAGGCAGCTGACCTTCTTACCCCAGCAACTTATCTCAAGCCATCACCAACCTGCCCTGCTAACTTCCACAGCCCCCAGGGCAGCCATAGAAGGCACTGTATCGCTGGGTGCTCTTGACTTCCCTGTCTGAGCTACCAAGACCCTCCCATGGGCTGAAGAAGCTGAGGGACAATGCCAGGAAGCCAGGCTTCCCGCCTCAAGGCCTGGCTTGGGTCAGCCTCTGGCCAAGCCTGGCCCAGGCACCCTGATTTGGTGTTAGAACATTCTAGCCTGTGATCCGCTTCTCCTACCTCTTTAGGGAAACTGAGGCCCAGAGAGGGGAGAGAGCTGGTGAAGGTCACCCAGCAGATGGAGTGTGTGGCCTGATGCCACCCACGCCCAGATGCTGTGCGTCTCACCCTGACACTTCAAGGCCGGACAGGCTTGTTGTGGGGTACAGACCACAGCAGACAAGCCCCATCCCTGTTATGGACTGAAGCTCTACTTCCCCCCAAGGGAGGCCAAGATTTGAGGGTGGAGGGGTGACAGTGAGGGCAGCCTGGAACAGTGAAAAGAACCCTTATGAGTCTAATAGCAGGCTTGACTCTGGAAGCTTCCCCTCATCCACCCCACCCAGTCCCTCACTGCTGTGGTCAGGATAGAGGCCAGGACCCCTCAGGTCTCCAGGGTCATTTATGCCCAGTGGGATCTCTGTGGAGCCTCTGGCTCCACAAAGAACACTGCATGGAACTGCAGCTAAGGAATTTTCTAAGCCAGCTTACATGAACAGTGGTGGGGTTGGGGGACAGCCCATCCTCATCCCATCCCCCAAGACCCCTCAGAAGAAAGAGGTGTGTGTGTGTGTGTACAAGGCTGCCACAGGACAGAGAGCAAGTGTTTCTTGGCCGGTCCCCAAGGGTGGTGTGTCAGTGGTGACAGTGACTGTGGGACCCAGCCCACCCTGTTACTGTGGAAACCAGAACATTGATCATCCCAACAGAGTGTCTTCTGAGAATGAAAAGATTATGAATAAAAGAATTATGCTGGGACGACAGGCATGAAAGGGTTTCCCTGGTGACTCAGTGATAAAGAGTCTGCCTGCAACGCAGGAGATGTGGGTTCAATCCCTGGGTCAGGAAGATTCCCTGGAGAAGCAAATGGCAACCCACTCCAGTATTCTTGCCTGGGAAATCCCATGGACAGAGGAGCCTGGCGGGCTATAGTCCATGGGGTTACAAAAGACTTACCAACTAAACAACAACAATAGGCATAAAATGGGACTATCCTGGGAAAACTAGGATGTATGGTCACCCCAGCTTTATCACTCTCAGCCACAGTTTCCATATCTGTGAAGTGATGCAATTGAACCAGGCAATTACTACATTCCACTCCAGTCTTGAAATCTGTTGTTTGGCATGAGAACTCTGATTTGTAATGGTCTTATTGGATGGCGTTGAGGGTAGCTCATGTTTACTGCATAATTACTATGTGCTCGTCACTGCTTTAAATGCTTTCTATGAACTCTTACCGATTCCTCTAAACAGCGTTTAGAAGGTAGTAGTGACAGTAATAAATAATTAACTATTACTTATGAGCGCTTACTGCATGCCAGGCACCTTGTAATGTGCTTTACAAGCCTCAGCTTCTTTAAGCCTCACGATGACCTTATGAGGAGGTACTGCAATTGACCCCATTTTATAAATGAGGAAACTGGGGCACAGAGAAGCTAAATAGCTTGTCCAAGGTCACAGAATCAGTTTTCAGACCTGGAATCAAACCTTTCCAGGAATGTAGTCTAAGCCTGTGTTCATCTTTGTTGAGAAAATTGCAGATCAGAGAGGTCTCATGACTTAGCCCAGGTCACACAGCACTGCAGGTCTCAGTGGGGGAACCAGACTCAAGCTGGCTCTTGGGCCCTGGTGCTGCCTGATTCCTCCCCTAAATGCTAACTCTGGAAAACAGGGAGTGTTTAAAGGCTTACAGCTGGCTCTTGGCACTCAGGGCCCCAGAGGCCGACATCATGCCTGTTAGTTCATAGTTATATTTGGGCCCGGGTGTGGGCGGGGCTGGCAGGTAGCCCCTTACTGAGCAGGCCCCCGTACTGTCAGCAGTGGATGGGCAGAGTGGCAGGGAGGGAGATGGAAGAATAAACAGAAACCCTCCCGGGCAGCCGCCCAACCAGGCAGAGAAAGTTCTGTTTCTTCTCACCACCACCCAGTTCCAGAAAGGGTGACCGGCCCCCCTCGCCCTCTCTATGACTCAGACCTGCCTGCAAAATCTGGGCCTTGCCCTCCCCCCGAAAAAGAGCAATTTGGAGGCAGGCGCTCACCACACTGAGACCTGAGACCCTATGCCCTCCCAACTAGGGAAACCTCCCCTTTGGGAATGAGAGACAACGTGGGGAGCCCAGGGCCTAGAGACCTGGGCCCAAATGCTGACTTCGCCACAGATCCCTGGAACATTCTTGGAAGAGCCCTTCTCTCTGAGCCTCAGTTTTTCCACCTGTACAAGGGGTCTCGGGGGAAGCGGGAAGTGCCAAGGGCGTTTGGTGAAGTGTCAGAGGCTGTAGGGAGGTAAGGGATTGTTCTGGCTCTTCAGAGTTGCCTGTGGAGATACAGAGGCCAAGAGGTTGAGGGGGCCTTGGGGAGACAGACACCTGGATCTACAATGGCCAGCACCCTCTGCTAGCCAGGAGCAAGCAGGCTCAGAGAGGCCCTACTGGCCACTTCAGAGGACCAAGGTCCCATTTTACTCAGAGTCTGGGCTTCTTTTTCTGAAAGAGAAAGCAGGATGCCAGCAGGTAAAGGATTTAAGTGCTAATGGAGGACCGTTGGGGAGTACCTTGCCTCATTCCTGTCCATTTTACAGATGGGCAAACTGAGCCCAGGGAGGAGGATATTCTTGCTCAAAGTCATGCCAGTCCAGAACAGTGTCACTGTGACCCTGTCCCAGGCCATGCTGTCCCCTCTCCCAGGAGACTGAGGACGTGCTGTGTGCCTGCCACTTTTCATGCATTCCCACAAAACCAGCCTGTATGTTTTGGAGTCCAATCCCCAGATGAAGAAGCCAAGGCTCAGAGAGATGAAACCACTCCTCCAAGTTCCTTCTGGGCCTCACAGCCAGGCCCAGGGCACCCCTCAGGCATGCACTCTGCCCCTTCCAGGCTTGGTGCTCACCCTCCCTCACCACCCCCAGCTCATGGCCCCATGCTTTCTCCCTCTGCAGGCCCAGACCCCAGCGAGGAGGCCGGGACCAAGGCCCTCTTCAGGCTGTCCGATGCTATGGAGGAGGGGGCCTGGGCGGCGGTGGCGGTGGACCAGCAAGACAGCACCCTATCGCTGAATCTCACCACTCCGGCCAATGCCCCCATTGGCCACTACAGCCTCAGCTTAGAGGCCTCCACTGGCTACCAGGGCTCCAGTTTCATGCTGGGTCAGTTCACCCTGCTCTTCAACAGCTGGTGTCCAGGTGAGCTGCACTCTATCCACGGGCAGGATGGGGAGATGGACAGAGCTGGACCCACCCATGGGAACCATTTGGTGGCAGGGGTGTGGTGGGCAGAAGACGGGGCAGCAGAGACATCCAGGTGGACTGAGTGAGGCTCTAGCCTCCCAAGACTTGATGATGTCAGAACTCTCATTATTCCCATTTACAGAGGTGGGGACAGGCTCACAGAAGCAAAATGACCTGCCCCAGTCTCCACAGCGACCAGGGCTTCCCTGGTAGCTCAGAGGGTAAAGAATCCACCTGCAATGCAGGAGACCTGGGTTCGATCCATGGGTTGGGAAGATCCCCTGGAGGAGGACATGGCAACCCACTCTAGTATTCTTGCCTGGAAAATTCCACGGACAGAGGAACCTGATGGGCTACAGTCATGGGGTTGCAAAGAGTCAGACACAACCAAGCAACTAAGCACAGTGCTCAGCTACAAAGGTATCCCACCTTGTGTCTGAGGCCCTGGCAATTGAGCTGGGCCTGGAGGTGGCCTGGGTTCAGAAACCCCATTCAGGAAAGGACTGTCCAGTGGTGGCCCAGGGCCATGGCCTCATACCTGGTTCTATTTTGTGGGACTCAGTTTTAAATCTCACCAGACTAGCTTGGGGAAGGGAAGCAGGGAGATGGAGGGGTGGGGTACCCAGAAGAGGTGGGCAGGAGCAGTTTGGCCACCTACGTGCTCCTTATACACTCTTTTTTTTTTTTTTTAATAAATTATCACTATCACCATTTTTTTAAAACTTCTCTTTTGATTTCTGTTTTAAAAATATATCTTTATTTATTTTTGGCTGTGCTGGGTCCTTGCTGTGAGGCTAGTTTCTCTAGTTGCAGTGAGCAGGGGCCACCCTTTGTTGGGGTGCCTTCTCACTGCAGTGGCTTGAAGCACAGGTTCTAGGCGTGCGGGCTTCAGTAGTTGCTTCACTGCAGCATGAGGGCCCCAAGAGTTGGAGCTCTCGGACTCTACGGAATGCAGGCTCGGGAGTTGCAGTGCACAGGCTTAGTCGTCTCATGGCAGGTGGGATTTTCCCAGACCTTGACCACTGAGCCACCAGGGAGGCCCCTTTATACATTCTTTTATTGATTGCTCTCAACAATCCTCAGGGGCAGAGATTAGCATCCTCGTTTTACAGACAGGAAACTGAGGCTTAGAGATAAGTGGCTTTTGGCAGCTCCTTCGAGTAAGTTGGCCAATGCAGGACAAAACCAGAGAATCAGAAAAAGAGCTGAGTCTGTCTCGGGCAGGAAAGAGGAGGGGGTCACAGAGTCCACGGGGTCGCAAAGAGTCGGACACGACTGAGCGACTAACACTACTACTAGCTGCTCATACCTAGCCAGTCAGAGAGAGGGGTCGTGTGGGCAGGCCCAGCCTGGTGATGGACTTCCCTCCTTGAAGCCTGGCCCTGGAGCAGAAATTCTGGCCTCCTACTGGGCCAGACCAGACCTCCAGACCACCAGCCTCCTACTGGGCCACTGCTTTATTTATTTATTTTTCTTCTCCATTTGGGGGCATTTTCTTTGAACAGAAAGATTTTTTTATTTTCTCTTTTATATACTTTGGCTATTTCTTTTTTTCATTTCGTTTTGGCTGTGCTGGGTCTTCCTTGTTGCACGGGCTTTTCTCTAGTTGCCGTGAGTGGGGCTACTTTCTATTTTTAGTTGCAGTGCGTGGGCTTTTCACTGAGGTGGCTTCTCTTATTGTGGAGCATGGGCTCTAGGCTTGCTGGCTTCAGTAGTTGTGGTTCCTGGGCTCTAGAGCACGGGCTCAGTAGCTGTGGCACATGGGCTTAGTTGCTCCCCGGCATGTGGGATCGTACTGGATCAGGGATCAAACCCCCGTCTCCTGCATTGGCAGGTGGATTCTTTACCATTGAGCCACCAGGGAAGCCCTGGCTTTTATTTTTAATTATAATGGTAAGATATGAGAACACCCTCTTTATAAAAGTTTCAAGCACTACAGAGAGATAGCCTCCCACCCTTCACTCCCCTCCTTAGGAAACACCATTATTAGCTGTCTCTGGAGGGCTTATCTCCTTAGATTCAAGTGTAAGTGTCTGAAGACATTGCTGCATTTTTTTTCTTCCAGTTTTATTGAGATATAATTGACCTACAGCACTGTATAAGCTTAAGGTGTACGGCATAATGATTTGACTTACTTGCATCATGAAATGATTATCACAATAAGTTTAGTGAACATCCATCATCTGATATACATACAAAATTTAAGTAAAAAATATTTTCCTTGTGGTAAGAACTCAGGAGTTATTCTCTTAAGAACGTTCATACGTAACATACAGCAGTGTTAATTATATTGATCGTGTTGTAGAAGACATCATTGCTTTATCAATTTCCCTGGCTTAAACATTAAAGAATCCCACCGTATACATCAGCCTACAACTTGGGATTTCTTTTTTCTCCCTCTACCATCTTGAGGCTCTTTCCACATCAGTTTGCATACATCTGCTCATCTCTTGCTGTTTCATTTTTGTTTTGTTTATTTATTTGGCTTTATTAAGTGGTGGCTTGCAGGATCTTCAGTCTTTGTCATGGCGTGCAGAATCTTAAGTTGGGGCACGCAAACTCTTAGTCACGACATGTAGGATCTTGTTCCCCAAACAGGGATCGAACCTGGGTCCCTTGCATTGGAAGTGCGTTGGAGTCTTAGCCACTGCACCAGCAGGAAAGTCACTGTTCATCGTTTTTAATAGCTGCGAGTGCCCCGGGCCTTGCCATCTGGCTCCCATCCACCGACATGAGTTGGTTCCCCCTGGCTTATCACAGGGAGGAGTTTCCTTGCTCACATGCCCTGTGGCCACACCGAATGGATTCTCAGGACAGAAGTGGCCTTGCTGGTCCCACTGTCCTCTCATTTTGATTTTAATCGGTGTGAACTTACAGGTAGTCAGCGACCGTGCCCCTGGGACAGGAACTTGGCATTGCCCCTCCCCAACCCCATCGCCGTGGGGTTTCGGAGTTCAAGGAACCGGCAGTGAAGATCTGGGGGATGACCTCTCCCTGTGGCCTTGCCTCTTCCCTGCCCGGAGGGATGGGGTGGCAGCCAGCCAAGCACTACAATGACTAAAGGGACCAACATCCCGGGGCGGGGAGCTGGAAATGTGGAGATAGGAAGTTGGGCTCAGTGGGGGTGGGGGGCGCTAAGGGAGGAACCTGCTCCCCCTCTTGGGGGAGAGGGCAGCATCTGCCCATGGCCTGGGGGCCTCCGGTCCCTGAGTTCCAGGATGGTCAGGATCCCAAGTGAGCATCCCCAAGACCCCCATCTTTACCAGTCAGAGACCTGAGTGGGGACATCATAGTCCCAACCTCCTGGGCTGCAGTGGGGACAGTTCAACATGTGCTGACCCTCCCACTGGATGAGGAAATACCATGGGCTTTTCTTTCTCTCAGATTCTTTCTCCCACGCCACCAGCTGATTTACAGCCACATAGCTCATTTATCTGAAGACTGGTGCTCATTGCGCAGTTGCCTGAGCCTCCTGGCAGGATGCGTAAGATGCTAGGCCACTTTCTCATTTGTTTTTCTCCAAGCGGTGCCGGCAGGGACTGCCTGCCCGTTGCTGTAGAGGGACCCAGGGCTCTGAGGGGCCAGGCAGCCCCTTCCCCAGGCACTGAACACGTTTCCCCAGGCTGATTTCAGTAGGCACGCTGCCTGGGTCCACCATACTCTCAGGGACCCATGAAAATGTGTTCTTTTCTTTTAAAATCAGAAGACCAAGAAAACAAAGGTTCAGGCCAGAGAATATGTTTTAATATATAGTATTAATATATTTGGGCTTCCCTGGTGGCTCAGAAGACAAAGAATCCTCCTGCCAATGCAGGAGACCTGGGTTCAATCCCCGGGTTGGGAAGGTTCAGTGTTACACCAATGCAGTCAGAAAATATATTACAAAAAATTTTTCTTTAATGGAGGAAGGAGTCCATGAAGGCAAAATTGCCTAGGACTTATCAAAGCCATACCATGGCTCTGGATTTCCCCTTCCCAGCCTTAATTTCTTCACTTGTGAGTGGGAATCGGAAAAGTCGGACTAAACTTTGCCCTCCTGCCAGCTGGCCCCACCACCTCAGGCCCTCTTCTGTTGTCACTAGCCACAGGGAACTAAGGATCGTCCATTTTCCAACCGCTGCACCGCTCATCTCTCTAGCCCTCTGCTTACAATGTCATCAAGGCAATCTTCAGGGACCCCCTGACCCCCAAGCTGGACAGATCTGCTTCTCTGAGCTGCAGCGACCTTGGGTTCACTTTCTCTGAATCATGTTCCTTCCTCACACCGCCTCAGGGCTTCAGCTTGCAAAGGACCTTTCTGTTCTGTGATCACATTTGACCCTCAGGAAACACAGTCAGGTGGCGGAAGTGACCTGCCCAGAGTCATACGGCAAAAGATACTCAGAGCTAGGGGATTCCCGACTCCTGGCCCCCGTAGTGCTCCTCTGTCTCTTGTGCTGGTGTCGTTTTCCCATCCGTAAAATAGTCTCGAGCCTCAGTTTTGCCATCTGTAAAATGGGGCTTCCAAGGATGCCTTCCACGTGAGGCTTTGCTGGAGGTTTAACAAGTTAACTTGTCGTTACATTTATCACAGGTACTAGCACGAGGTAAGTGTTGGATAAAAGACAGCCAATTGTTATCACCAACTGATAATACTTTATCTTATTGGTATGAGATTATTATTTTTTTTTTAAGGAAGTACTGTCTGTCTTTTTTTTTCCATTTATTTTTATTAGTTGGAGGCTAATTACTTTACAGTATTGTAGTGGGATTTGTCATACATTGATATGAATCAGCCATGGAGTTACATGTATTCCCCATCCCGATCCCCCCTCTCACCTCCCTCTCTACCTGATTCCTCTGGGTCTTCCCAGTGCACCAGGCCCTAGCACTTATCTCATGCATCCAACCTGGGCTGGTGATCTGTTTCACTATAGATAATATACATGTTTCGATGCTGTTCTCTCGAAACATCCCACCCTCGCCTTCTCCCACAGAGTCCAAAAGTCTTGGTATGAGATTTTTAATTAATGATTAGTTTTTCTGATTAAAAGAGGGAATGGCCTCTGGGGAGTTGCCCTGGTGCTGAAGGGTTGGCCATGTCTGTGGTGAAGCTGGGCCTTGCCAGATGCTGAGTTGAGGCCTTTTCATTTTTACCCACAGCGGATGCCGTGTACCTGGACTCGGATGAGGAGCGGCGAGAATACGTCCTTACCCAGCAAGGCTTCATCTACCAGGGCTCAGCCAAGTTCATCAAGAGCATACCTTGGAATTTTGGGCAGGTAGGGCCACACCCTGCCCCTCCTAACCATCTCTGGCTTGTTGTGAGCTGGGCCCTAGGTCTGAGACAAAATCAGAAAGTGTAAGCAGGTCTCAGAGTCACTCACCGCATGCTGTCAAGGATTCAAGGGCTCTGACATGGCTGGAGGCTCAGAGAGGGCCCAGGCCAGGCCTGAGGTCACACAGCAAAAGATGGCCCTGTGCACCGTGGGAGCAGCAGCTCTGGATTCAAGGTGGGGAAGAGTCAGAGAGCCTTTAGGAGCTGTGGGGCTGGCAGGGGCTCCAGGAGGGAGAAGGGAGCCATTTCAGGGCCTTATATCAAAATCATGTGCGGCACTTGGAGATCACTGACTCTGTGCTAGGCGTGTGCTGAGAGGGGCTTTAAACCATTGTCTAAATTAGTGGTTCTCAAACTCGAATTTCATGTCTAAATTACCGGAAAAATTTGCGTTAAAATACATTTTTAACATATTGGTGCATAGTATCCTAGGGAACAGCAGGAGCAGAAGCACCGAGGTGGGCAACTTTCGTTGTGCCTAAGAAGTGTCCTGCAGCCTGGGGAGCACTTACATGAGATGGGGCCCCAGGAGATGATGTGGGAGAAGTCCACAGTATTCAAGCTGTGAACAGCCCTGAATGTCAGGCCGACGGCAATAGGGAACAGAAGAATGAATGCGTCAAGCCAGGAAGGGCTGCTCTGAGTCATGGAGGGAGGCCTGTGATAAGGCCTGATGTGGGGCAAGGCCACAGACACAGAGAGCAGGGCGAGCCTTTGAATGTGACCGAAGTGGTCTGAAGCATGGTGACAGGGAGAGATCTTGATAAAGACAGCACCTAAACTGCATGGATGAGGTGTGAGTCATAGAGACAGGGGCAGAGAGAATATCCCGAGCGAAGGAAACAGCATGTGCAAAAGCCCTGGGGCAGCGTGAGTGTGGCTGAGAGTGCTGAGAGGTGAGGTTGAGATGTGGTGGGACACCAAACATGAAGGGCCCTGCAGGGAGAAGTCTCCGTCTTACTCTGGGTGCAGTGGAAACAAGAGTGATGAGATTAGATTTACATAAATTTACAATTTATACTTTGGTTCCAATCAGAGCAGTGTGTGGGGGTGGGGGAGGAGGGACACTTATCAGCTCTGCGGGGTGAGTCAGGCTTTAGGGAAGTGAAGGTTTGGCTGTGGGGGCAGGGAGGGCAGTAGCTGGGCCTGAGGTGACTGAGGGCAGTCAAGCTCCAGGGACTCTGGCTTTCCTTCCACTCCAAGTTCCCAGGAGCCTGCCCCGCCCCCCCTGCCCCCCCGCCTAGTCTGGATACAGGCACACCCCATCCCCTTTCTCATACACTCATTGTCCCATCCCACCCCCCTTTCCTGGGCCAGGAAAGCTGGCACCACGGCAACGTGACAGACGCAACCCGAGCCTCCAGGTGTGATGTGTGAGACAGAGAAGGGGGGCTCCCACAGCCGCTGGACTTCAAGGCAGGCTTCCTGGAGGAGGTGACTTCTCAGCTCCCTCATTCTCCCCTTCTTTCCTCTGACACAGTTTGAAGACGGGATCCTGGACATCTGCCTGACGCTCCTGGACGTCAACCCCAAGTTCCTGAAGAACGCTGGCCGAGACTGTTCCCGTCGCAGCAGCCCGGTCTATGTGGGCCGGGTGGTGAGCGGCATGGTGAGTGAGCGCAGGCCCGCCTCAGGTGATAATGGAGACCAGGCCCCAGGCTGTCATGGTCGCGGGGACCTGGGAGATGGGTGAGTCTCAGCTAGGAGACCTTGTATTTGGACAGACAAGATGTGCACAAATGAGGGTAAGGCCGTGTGGTCCTGCAAAGCAATTCATTCATTCACTCACCCAGCAAGTATTTATCAAGTGCTACCCATGTCCCAGGCACGGGGGAAAAGCAGGTGGAAGACATGAATGGTCTCTCACTTCCTAGAGCTTCCATCCTAGGGAGTGTGGGAGAAGAAGGGAGTTAACCACAGAATCATGTGAATGCCCAGTCATGTTGCAAAGAGCTCTCAAAGGGGCCAGACGTGTGACAGTGTCTGACCGCAGGGCGCAACCCCAGTGGAGGACTGGGGGACTTCCCTAAGTGATGATTCTTGAGCTGATGTAACTGGGAGGAGAAGAGTGTCCCTCGCAGAGAGGACTGCCTGTACACAGGTTCCCCAAGGAGGGTCGACTGGCAGATTTGATGAGCAGAAAAGAGGCCAGTGTGACCGGAGCGGAGAGCAAAGGGGTGGGGGTGGAGGGCGGGGGGGAGGGTTGCAGGTGGGCTGCAGAGGGGGCAGGGCCAGACCCTGCTTGGTGCAGGGCCAGGGCAGCAGGATGCTGAGAGTCTGGGGGCAATGACACCATCTGGGCAGGGCCAGAATGGGCCTCTGTAAAACTCAGATCATGCCGACTGCCAGCCCCTGCACACATTCACATCTCCAGCATCATCCTCATGACTCTGACCCCTCTCCACCTCCTTTCCCACCCCCACTCCTGTCTCTAACCTCCCCATCAGTCATACCTCGGGATCTTTGCACCTGGTCCTCCTTCAGCCTGGAACACCCCTCCCCTGCCTGTCACCACGTGCTGAGTTCATGCCCACCCTAACGCAGGCATCACTAACCCCAGACTTGGTCCCTCTGACGCCCCCGCGGGTCGCAGGTCAACTGCAATGATGACCAGGGCGTGCTGCTGGGGCGCTGGGACAACAACTACGGGGACGGCATCAGCCCCATGTTCTGGATTGGCAGCGTGGACATCCTGCGGCGTTGGAAGAAAGATGGTTGCCAGCGCGTCAAGTACGGCCAGTGCTGGGTGTTCGCGGCTGTGGCCTGCACCGGTGAGCAGCAGGCGGACGTGGCGGGGCCTAGAACCGCCCTTGGCTTCCAGAAGCTTAGTCAGGGTCCCTGTGGCCTTCTCCCAGGCCTGATGTGTAACAGAGCCTGGGAAAGCTTGGTCAAATAACGGGACGTCTGACCCCTGCGGTTGTGGGGTTTCTTCTCTTTTTTAATATTTATATTTATTTGCCTATCCCCAGGCCTTAGTTGCAACTTGAGTTCTTTATGTAGGGTCTAGTTCCCTGACCAGAGATCAAAGCCCGGCCTCCTGCTTTGGGAGCTCAGAGTCTTAGCCACTGGACCACCAGGGAAGTCCCAGCTGTGGGGTTTCTGCAGGGTGCCGAGTAGTGGATCAGCCCAGAGACTGGAATTGGCCTGCCTGGTTTGAATCCCAGCTCTGCCTCTAATCCCAGGCAAGAGAATTGGTGTCTCCAGGCCTCAATTTCCTCACCTGTAAAATGGAGACAGTGGTAACTGACCTAAGTCACAGAGAGCTCTTATACCCAGGGTGAGGTCACTTAGCACAGTCAGTCAGGTTAGGTGGGGTTTCGGGATTTTCAGGGGCATCTGGGATTCCTCAGCTGGATCCTGGGACATTTTCCCTGTGTCCGTTAGTTGGCCACAAATTATTGGACGGATATTTGCAGTGACGGGCACGGTGACACACTTTTCTGTTCTGCCAGACTGCTCACACCCATCCCTCTCTGAATCATTACAGCATCCCGACAAGCTGCTATTATTAGCTCCTCTTAGAGGAGGAAGTGGAGGCTCAGAGAAGAGAAGTGGCTTGGCCAAGATCACACAGCTGGTGATCTGCACAGCCAGGCATGGAACCAGGTGGGCCTGCTTCAGGCACAGCCTCCTGGTCTTAGATTGTGACGATGAGGCCCCCCTGGGACCCCATCCTTGGGACAGGAGTGGAGCCTTGCTCCTGGGTCAGCGGGGACAAGCCTCCCCCAGCCTGGAGTCTGTACTCTGAAGCTTGTCGTGATGGGGCAAGGCCGGGAATTGGAACACCAGCTCTCCCACGGGCAGCAGAGAGTCTGGCCCCTACCCAGGCCAAAGTGCACAGGAACCAAGCCAGAGGTGGAAGGTCACAGCTGTTCCTTCCTCCCTCCTTCTAGGGCTCTCTCATCTCCTGATCTGAATCCGGGGCTTTTGGGGAAGTTAATGCCCTGATTGATGGCAGGCACTGGGCAAAGTTCACATTCCTGCCTCTCCCCCATCTCAGAGACCCAACCTCATCAAAACTAAAAGTAAAACAAAAGTCCTACGGATTGTATTTAGTAGGCCTTTCTGCTTCACTTCTTTTTTAAGACGTTACTTTCTTTATCTTACCCTGAGAATATGTTACTTTTACATTTTACATTAAAAAGTGCATCAAAAAACAAAAGGGAAAAAGCACCCATAATCTCCTCTGTCAGGAACCCCCAGCACCACTGTTTGAGCAGGAGTCTGTGGTCTATAGATGCCACTTGACCTCCTGCCTCTTTGTCACCTATCATTACAACACCAGCCCCTTTCCTGGTCACTTCAGCCTCTCTGAACACTGTGCCTCGACCCAGTGCAGGCCCTCCTGGTCCACAGTGGAGCCCCAGAGCACTGAACTCTGAGCCAAAGAGGACGAAACAAGGCCCAGAGAGGTGAAGGGAATGGCCTCAGGCCACACAGCCTGGAGCAGCTGGGGCTGGAACGGAAGGGTCTTGACCTCTGTTGCCTCATCTGCCTACCCCACTGTTCACGCCTCGCTCTGAATCTGTCACTCCTTTTCTCCTTCCTTTCCTCCTTCTCCTTCTACTTCACTCCTTCATCCCATTTGACCAATTATTCTGTGCCAGGTCTTGCTGGGCTCTGGAACTGTAACATAAGGCAGATCACTCACTGCCCTCAGAGGACTAATTAAAGAATCCCTCACATACCCATATATTGAGAGTGATGATGCATCCCTAGTCTTGCTGTGAATGCAGATGATGGGGTAATCTAAACCTGGCAGGGTGGCCTTCCTGGCTGAGGGATGGGCATACGCCAGCATCCTGGGGGCAGGTGGGAGTGAGGAGTGCTGGAGGCCAGTGTGGCTGGAACAAAGTGTACAGGAAGTGATCAAGGTTCAGACCCCGCAGGGCAAGGCCTACAGTGGAGGTCTGGCCTTGACCTTGAGGGCCATGAAGAGCCATTGAGGGTTTAGCAGCAGACTGTTAATGTCAGGTTTGCATTTAGAGTCTTCTTTTGTTAGCTGTGAGGTGAAGAGGAGAGAGGGGGACATGGGGCAATCAGCGAAGTGGGCACCATTGTCTGGGCAAGGGGATGGCACAACCTCACCACTTGGACAATGGGTACAGTGCTCCCTGGGGTACAGATGGGTATGTGGAGGCCCAGGCAGAGCAGATGTCTCTAGGGCCCCAGCCCACCCCCTAAACTCTCTCCACCATATCTTCCGCCCAGTGCTGCGGTGCCTTGGCATCCCCACCCGCGTCGTGACCAACTATAACTCAGCCCACGACCAGAACAGCAACCTGCTCATCGAGTACTTCCGCAACGAGTTCGGGGAGATCCAGAGTGATAAGAGCGAGATGATTTGGTGAGGGGTTGCCCAGTAGGGAGGGTCACCTGAAGAAGAGATGGGGCGATGTCTCAGATGAGGTCACCTCTGAATTAGGTTTAAAAGTTGAGCAGTATTTGGACAAAAGGAAACAGGACTTGGAGAGGCTCCCAGGGAGGCAGGAACAGCAGGAGCCAAGGCTGAGAGGAAGGAAAATCAACACAGGACACATGAAAGGAGAACGCCTTGTCCAGAGTCTGCACTGCAGGCTGGGGGTCTGGGCTTGATTCCAAAGGCTTCAGACTGGAGAGGAGTGGTCTGATGACAGTGGGGATAGATCAGAAGCGAGGGGGTGGGGATGTGGTCCAGGTGGGTGGTGATGGGGCCTGAATCCAGGCAGAGCCTGTGGGCTGGAAAAGAGTCAATCAAGAAATTAGGAGGTCAAGTCAGCTGGACTTGCAGAGCCACTGAGAGGGGAAGGGAGGTGGGCAGAGAGGTGAGGGGTTGAGGATGACTCTCAGTGTAGGAAGGAATACCTGGCTGGGACCCCTGGAGGAAGAGCAGAGTGTCGGGAGGACGTGATGGGCTCAGCTTAGGACAAGGCAAGTGCGAATAGCACGTTGGAGGTGAGCACGAACGTCTGCGCGTGAGTCCTGCTCCATGTTCTGCTTTGTTTCCCCAACAGGAACTTCCACTGCTGGGTGGAGTCGTGGATGACCAGGCCAGACCTGCAGCCGGGCTACGAGGGGTGGCAGGCCCTCGACCCCACGCCCCAGGAGAAGAGCGAAGGTGGGTTGGGCAGAAGCGGGCCCATCACTGAGATGAAGAAACGGAAACTGGAGGGGACCCACCCACCTGAGGGGCCCCCCAGAGAAGGGCAGAGAGCTGGGGTACGAACCCGGGTCTGGCTGGCTCCAGAGGAACTTTGAGTGCAGCCTCACTGGTGTTTTATGAAGCACCTCTTTTATAGCTTGAAAAGTGATTCATGCACATTGTGGAAAACAGAAAATATGGAGAAGCACAAAGGAAAAAAGATCAAATAGCATCTTTGTCCTCTTCCCCCCAAAGAAATTTCGTTAACATTTATACACAGTTTCCAGTAATTTCAAATGACTCCTTCCTCAGAATAATATTTTAAATGCACACAATATAATACCTACATTGAATATAGTACCTTCATAAAGATGAAGCTTCTTTCTGCTACTAATGTTAAATCAGGAGTGGGAAAAGGGTTGAATTCCACTGAAACATGATTATCAAAAATTTTTAAAATATTTTTGTGATATAGTAATATATGTGTTACATAACATGATCTAGTGATAGAGTCAGTAATTTCCCTAGTTTCTTGATAGAGATAAACATAATCTCTATTTTCAGTTATCTGTGACAACTACAAAGATATATGAAAATATCTGTGGTTCTTAGGAGTGACAGGTCACAAGTGCACCTAAGACTGTGGTTTGTGGTGTGCTGGAACAATAAAAAAAAAAGTGTTATCAAAGTATAATGAAAATGAGGTGTTTTTTTTTTTTTCCTGTCCAAGTTCATGAACTCCTGAATTCTATTTGCTGTGCCTCGGGGGGATCCATGGGCCCCAGGTTAAGAACTCTGGCTGCACATGACCTTTTCTCCTGGCCCCCTCGTTTCTCCATATAGCATTAGCAGTTCTATATCAGATCGTATTCCATGATTTGAATTTTAATTGAATGTTATTATGTTCCATCAGATAGATGCATTGTAATATAGCTACTGAGCCTCTAATCCTCAACATTGCAATTTGTGACCGGTTTGAGGCAGTTGTAAACCACACCTAGATAAGCATCAGGCTGTCTTGTTAATGAGCTCTCTTGTTCATTCAGTCAACACACACTCCCTGAGTCTGCGTTAGGCACTCACTGCTACTCATTCTGGGCAGGAAACCAGACAGACACACGCCCTTGTCAAGTATTGCCTACACTTGGCTCCCTCATTTCCTAAAGTGCCTTGGGATACATTTCTCTTTATCAAACACATAGCGGATAAGAGTTTGGGAGTCCTCATTTGTAGGTACAAATTTCATCACGTGAAGCCAGGACTCAGAGAGGTTAAATGAATTCCCAATGTCACACAGCTAATAAGAGGCTGTGCTGAGATTTGAATCCCAGAAGCTGAGTTCCAGGGTCCCCTGGAATTCTCTCTTTTGACTGCATTGTGAGATTTGCCAGATCTCAGTTCCCGACCAGAGATTGAACCCAGGTCCGAGCAGTGAAAGCGCAGAGTTCTGACCACTAGACCATGGGGAACTTCCTCTCTGGGAGTTCTGAGTTCTTATCTGATACCGCCGTCTCAGAAATGGAGTTTCTGCGTCAAAGCGCTGTATCATCTTGCGGCTTTTACCCACATGTGGTTTGATTGTGGAAGGTTTGGGAGGTGCCCTCCTCCCCTCAGCCCAGGTCCATCTCTGTCTCCTCCTTCCCCCACCCAGGGACTTACTGCTGTGGCCCGGTTCCCGTTCGTGCCATCAAGGAGGGCGACCTGAGCACCAAATACGACGCTCCTTTCGTCTTTGCCGAGGTCAACGCCGACGTGGTGGACTGGATCCGGCAGGACGATGGGTCGCTGCACAAATCCATCAACCACTCCCTGGTGGTGGGGCTGAAGATCAGCACAAAGAGTGTGGGCAGAGATGAGCGGGAAGACATCACCCACAACTACAAGTACCCGGAGGGTAGGTGCTGGGGCTCATCACTGCCCTGCAGAGGAGCAGCTGGTTTTACCGGCCCGGTGGGCATGTGTGCCTGTGTGTGTGTGTGTGTGTGAGTGTGTGTTTTATCTGGCAGCCTGCACACGACAGTGATCTGTAGGTTACTGTCTATTTCAAGAAATTGCTTAGAAACAAGTGCAAATTTGACACACACACTGTGTGTGGGGAGGCAATGGTCAAGGATTACTCATTTAGGGAAAGAATTTTATATTCCACAAAAGGATTCCATTTGGTTTTTAAGCCTCACTTTCTTGGTTGGTTTGACTCTTAGTAAAACTGAAAGGGATGGCTGTTATACAGGAGAGGCATGCATTGCAACAAAAAATTAGGATGTCCATGTTTATTAATAGTGCATGCGTCTGTGTGGAGTCGCTTCAGTCGTGTCTGACTCTTTGTGACCCTATGGACTGTAGCCCTCCAGGCTCCTCTCTGTCCATGGGATTCTCCAGACAAGAATACTGGAGTGGGTTGTCATTCCCTCCTCTAGGGGATTTTCCCAAGCCCGGGATTGAGCCCATGTCTCTTACACTTCCTGCATTGGCTGACAGGTTCTTCACCACTAGTGTCACCTGGGAAGCCCCTTATTAACAGTACTCATCAGTCGTGGGAGCTACAATAGATGGGCAATTCCATGCCTTTTTACTGCAGTGTATTTGTGCCAAAGAGGCTTGGAAGTCCAGAGGGGCCATGTAAGAGAAGCTCCATGAAAGAGAAACTGTAGTGTTTATCATTGCAGTATTGCACATAGAGCTGGGGAAGTGGCTATGAAGGTAGATTGGAAAGGCTTAAAGAGAAATGGACCAAAAGAAGCTTAAAGATAATAAGATGGGCTCGGTCAGACACAAAGATGAAGCTTCTTTTTGCTACTAATATTAAATCAGGAGTGGGAAAAGGATGTGGTTTATTTTGCACATCCAGTGGCCAATTCAATAGACAGATATTTTTGAAGCAGCTACTGTGTTCCAAGTACAGTAGGGTTTACAGAAGTGACTAAGAAACCGCAGCCCTCATCTGACCCCCATTGACTTTTGAAGGGCTGCCTGGGGTTTGGCTATGAAGTGGCCACGCTCTTGCAGGAAAGGATAAAACAGAAGGAAAAGATGCTTTCCCTGGCCTCTGAAATGTCTAGACCTGATGATTTGATAGAAAAAAAATAGATATATACCCAACAACACTTGGGAAAAATTACAAGGCACATAGTGGAGAACTAATGGTATAAAGAAAGGGGCAATTCTGCTGGAGAACTCAACAGTTGGAGAAGTGATGGAAAGGATTTCAGTTAAAAGTGGTCCCTGTGCAAATGCTTGGAGGTGAGAAAGTTTGAATTGTATTAGTGCCTACTAGGCACGAAGCACTGTTGTAGGCATTGGGTATGACTTAAGATTAAGTGAAACACAGGCTTAGTCCCCAAGAGACTTGAGAGTGTAAGCATATGAACAGAAAAAAACCCTAGTGGGCCCCCCCCCCAAAAAAAAACATGGCAGGCAATCGGCAGCTATGAAACTCCAAAAAGTATTGTGAGTCATTCATCCTGGGGAGGTAGTCAGAGAAGGCATCCTGGAGGAGGGGTCATTTGGGGATGGGTCTTGAGGGATGTATAGGAGTTTGCTTGTGGGAAGTAAATAAAATACTCTTTCCTCCTCCTGGCACAGTAATGTAAAGAAGGGGCTCCTTCTGGGTGCTCTGAGTCACCAAGACTTTGAGAAGCCAGCTTGCTCTGCCCCCAGCCTGCTGCTCATTGATCCCCTGTCCGGCTGTGATGAAACTCTCTACCCTATCTCCACAGGGTCCCCAGAGGAGAGGGAAGCCTTCACGAGGGCCAACCACCTGAACAAACTGGTTGATAAAGAGGAGACAGGGGTGGCCATGCGGATCCGTGTGGGCGAGGGCATGAACAGGGGCTGCGACTTTGACGTCTTTGCCCACATCACCAACAGCACCCCCGAGGAGCACGCTGGCCGCCTCCTGCTCTGTGCCCGCACTGTCAGCTACAACGGGATCCTGGGACCTGAGTGCGGCACCAAGGATCTGCTCAGCCTTTCCCTGGAGCCCTACTCCGGTAAGGTTCTGTGTTCCTGGAGCAGCTGTTGACCACACTGGCTGGATCGTGCCCTGAGCATCGAGCATGTACAATCTACCGCACTGCGGGTCTGGCCCTGTCCTTGGCACTTTATAAATAGCAACCCAGCTCCTTTTTATAACAAAAGTAGGAGGTGGATTCTTTTATGGTGCCTGTTTTCCAGTTGAGAAGACTGACAGCAGAGAGGTTAAGTAGCTTTCCTAAGGGCACACGGCTTGAAAGTGACAGGACAGAAACTTGAACCTGTACTCACAGCAGCTATTCTGTTTTGTTTCAGCTCATCTTCATGTGACCCCTGATTGCTTTCCCAGACTCTTTACTTACTTCCCCTTCCAGCAAATTCCTCCCCTCTGTCTCTAGCAACCCACACTGCAGCTGTCTCTCCCCAGAGCCCTTTAGAGAACCTCTCCTGTTCCTCTGGAGGTTCTCAGGCTCAGGGAGAAGAGATTCAAGACTAGTGCTGCCCAGAGAACTGTCAGAGATATGAGAATGTTCTATATCTGCACTGTCTAGTGTGGTGACCACTAGCTCCACATGGTTATTGAATACTTGCAATGTGACTTGCAGCTGTGGGACTAAAGTTTTCATTTGATTTAAACAGCTACATGTGGCCGGAAGCTGCCATATTGGACAGTGTTGCTACAACAGTGATGGGAAAAGCCTTGATCTTCTCTTCTTAGGTTTTTATTTTTTAAATTGGGGGTATAGTTGCTTTACTTTCATCTGTACAGCAGAGTGAATCACCATATGTTTACATATATCTCCTCCCTCTGGGACCTCCCTCCCACCCCCTGCTCCCTATCCCACCCCTCTAGGTCATCACAGAACATCGAACTGAGCTCCCAGTGCTATGCAGTAGCTTCCCGTTAGCTATCTATTTTACACATGGTAGTGTGTGTGTGTGTATCAATCTTAAATTTCCAATTCACACCTCTGCCAATTGTGTCTACCCACCATTCTCTATGTCTGAGTCTCTATTCCTGCTCTGCAAATAGGTTCATCTGTGCCATTTTTCTAGACTCCACACTTATGCATGAACATATGCTCCAGGGCCTGGCCCGGCCTCCCTGGGAGCAGATCCTCTTCCATGTTTGGGGCTGAAATGATGTCTGCAGCTCACCCAGCCCTCACCCCTGGGCGGAGCCTCTGTCGCTCTTTTTTCCTGGTCGGTCGCCTGCACAGTCATTGTCCCCTTGATCCCTTTCACTGCCTGCTTTGTCACCACGCCTGGTTATCTCCCTAAAAATAAGCCGGAGGCCCTGAGTGGGGTTGTGCCTGACAAGGTCACTTAGTGTTGCAGCGTGGAGCCTGGTCTCTCCCCCACCGCCCACCCTCCCGCCTCCCCCAGCCACCGCAGTGGTCCTTTCTTGGCTTCTGCGTTTGGAGCCTGCGGGCATGAGGAGGGCAGGGGAGTCTTGGCGTTGGGAGAGGACCTGGGAAGTGTGGTTTGAGTAGAACATCAGTCAGCTCTAGGGCCTTTGTCTCAGGCCCACGGCAGGCACTCCTGGAGCTACACGCCAGGATAGAGCAGACTCTGTCAGGGTCCTGGAGCAGCGGGGAAGCCTTGGGGGAAGAGCCGGTTGGTACCAGGGCTAGGGCCCCATCACTTTCACTGCTAAAAGGCATGTGCAGAGGCCAGACTTGGCCTTGAATCTGACCAGTTCTATTATTATTATTAATTATTGGTCACACCATGCAGCACGTGGGATTTTAGTTCCCAGACCAGGGATCGAACCGCTGCCTCCCTGCATTGGGAGTGTAAAATCCTAATTACTCCACAGCCAGGGAAAAACCTCTCCCACCTTCTAGATGTACAGTCTCGGGCCTCACACCACACTCACCTGTCAGCTGGGGCATTGACATGCCCCTCGTGGGTGGCTGTAAGGACGGAAGGAGATGTGTGTTCCGGAAAGATCTGAAAGATGTAAAATGGTGCCCGGCCATGGTGGGGCCCTTCACACCCCACTGAGCAAGTGCAGACAGGTGTGGGGAGGACAAGAAGCATCTTTGCTGAACACCTGCTGTGCCAGTGCTCTCCAGGCCGGGCTCAGAGCTTCCTAAGTCATGGCCAACCTCGCTGGTGTCCGGAGGACCGGGGTCTTCACTCTGCCTCCGGGCCCCGAGTCAGGGGCAGGACTCCATCCTTCCAGGTGTGTGGGGTGGTTGAAACACACCCGGGTCCTAGTTCCTGCAATTCCGCCTGCAGGCTGTGAGCTCCTGGGTATTTCTCTTCTCTATTCCGGGCCTCAGCTTCCCTATTTGTAGAAAGGCTGGTTCATCTTTTCTTTTGTTTTTATAAGTGAAAGGTTGATTCAGGGAGGAAACCCACTCCATAGACAGAGTGGGGGCCATCTCCGAAGGCAAGAGAGACCTGGTTCATCTTTAGAGAGCGCCAGCCCCGTTGTGCGAAGGCTGTGTCAGTTCTTCCTCATATTCAGAACTGCTTGAAAGGGCGGAAGTGTCTTTCCTGGAATATGTTTCATAAGGTGAAGCCCAACCTGAACCAAGGATGCCAGAGTAACTTCCTTCCGGGCCGCTGTTGAGTCACACTTTGCCTCCCAGATACATCTGGGCTCCTCACAGCATTGTTCTGTTTCAACCACGCCTGCCGGTGTCTCTTCCTGGGAAAGTGTTCACAGCAGAGGGGTCCCATCTGCTCCGTAGACCCCCAAGGGGCACAGCCTTTTGGGAAAAGGCAGAGGAGGGAAGCAGTCTGGGGCGTTGCCCTCAAGCTGGAAGGTGGGGCTAGGCCAGGATGTGCTATTGAGGCCTCCAAGGCCAAGGTCACCCTGAGACTGATTCTCCCACCCTCTGAGACCCTGAACTTTAGCTGAGTTGCTGGTTATGCTTTAGAGATAAGATCCAGGGGATTTCCACGTGCTAGTGGACAGGAAGCCAGGCCTAGGACAGCTGAACTGAAACCAGCGGTCCTTACTCTGGCCTCCTGCTCAGCGACTCTCCCCCTTCCTGCGCTCCGCCCCCTCTCCGGGGCCCTCACCCCTCCAGGTGGGGCAGCACAATCTCTGCAAAGATCAAAGGGACCATCTAAGGAATGAGTGACACTAACTGCACACGTTTCTTCTTTCTTTCGGCCAGCGCTGGCCCGAAGCCAGGCCAAGGCCTCTAGCCTGTGGATGGCAATTCTCAAAGGTCCAGCCCCACCCTGACCTCAGCCTCCTGGCAAAGTTAACAGTGGGGGCCACCCCCTCCAGGCTCCTGGAGAACCGTGTTTTCCTTCTTCTCTGTGGAACTGCTCAGAGTTTCCACTCCGTTCCACCAAGTCCCGACCCAGGAATTTTTCACTCCTTTTTGTCCTCTTTGGCAGAAGCTGTGTTTTTTTTCCCTTCTACATCATCGGAGCCGAGCTTGGGGAAGGTCCACCCGGGGAATGAGTGACGAGAGGGCTGGGCGCTCATTTTCCAGAGAGCAGGATAGGGGACACTGAGTGTGCGTGGTCAGGACCTAGACCTTGACCCATGCAAAGAGAAGGTGGCCGTCTGCTCAGGCCTTCACGGTCCTGTAGATGACCTCCAGCGGGTGCTCACTGGCCTGCACACCCCTGACCCTTGCTAATCTCCCTCATTAACAGTAAACCAGATCCTGAACTCAGAGCGCTCAGCAGACAAGAATATGAGCCTGAATTCAATAAACCTGACTTCGTTTGCTGGTGTTTGTTTTTACCAGCTTCCTGCTACTTATGGTAAATAGACAGGTTTGTGGCAAATAATGGTAAGAAGACTCCCTAAGAAGAAAAGGTTGAAAAGTATGAAGCAAGCGGACTGAAAGAAAAATAATGAGCAAATAATGAAGATTTACTCAGATGTGTGAAACATCACATGAATGACTGGAGTTTGGGAAACTCGAGTCTCTTGGGGGGAGGGAGGCAGCAGACGACAGAAAAAGAGGAAGCAGCATCTGCCAGCATGGCACTGGGACATGAGGAGAGGTTGACTGGGCTCCACAGAGTCCCAGCACCATCCTTCCAACATTCTTGTTTGATGCGAGTGGCTCTGTCTACAATGCAGGAGACCTGGGTTTGATCCCTGGGTTGGGAAGATCCCCTGGAGAAGGGAATGGCAACCCACCCCAGTATTCTTGCCTGGAGAATCCCATGGAGAGAGGAGCCTGGCAGGCTACAGTCCATGGGGTCACAGAGAGTTGGATACAACGGAGCAGCTCACACACACACAAAGACACACATAAGGGGCAGAAAGGATTTCTCCCAAGGTTCTCTGTGACCACGTGAACAAGCAGGGTCTGGCGTAAGCCTGTGGATTTGCTCTCTCTTTTTTAAAAAAATTGCAGTGTAGTTAATTTACAATGTTGTGTTAGTTTCTGCTGTACGGCAAAGTGAGTCAGTTATACACACATGTACGCTGTTTTCTAGGCTCCCTTCCCAGACAGGTCATCAGAGTATTGACTAGAGTTCCCTGTGCTACTCAGTATGTGCTTATTAATCATCTAGTCTAAATATAGTATGTATATGTCAATCCCACTCTTCCAATTTATCCCTCCTCCTCCCCTCTCTGCGCTGGTAACCAGGAATTTGTTTTCTACATCTGTGACTCAGTCTCTATTTTGTAAATAGGTTCCTTTGTATCATTTCTCCACCTATGAGTGATACCATTTGATATGTGTCTATCTCTGTCCTTCCTCACTCAGTATGATAACCTCCAGGTCCATCCATGTTGCTATTTCATCCTTTTTTATAGCTGAGTGATATTCCACTGTATATGTGTACCAAATTTTCTCTGTGGTCTGTGGATAATCAGTCCAGTTCCTGCACCTTTTCCCACTGCTCCTGCCTGCCTCTCATAAGCTGACCCTGGTGCCCTAGGACTTCCGTGTTCTTCTCTGAGAAACAGAGGCTAAGATCCACACTTTGCTTCTCTACAGTGGGGAGGTTGGCCCTGCCAGCTTCGTTCTCATCCCCATCGCTGTGTGACTTTTGCTCTGAACTGATCTCTGCTCTTAGCTCTGCCCTGTGGGATCCAGATGCTCCTGGGAACAGAGGGAACCGAGCAGAAACAGAGAGGGGAGGTCGTCTCCCCAGGCTCACACAGTCAGTCAGTGGTCCTAACATGACCAACTCTCCCCTTCTGAATACTTATGGGCAGAAGTGTTTCTTCATCTGTAAAATGGGTACAATTCCACTGACCTCGTGGCGGGAAATGGACATCCTGAGAGGTGGGGTGACTCACCCTGCATCCCCAGGTAGCAAAGGGCAGAGGCACGATTAAAACCCAGCCCACTCCTCCCACTTCCTTCCTGGGAGTGCTGGAGCCAGGGCAGGTGGGAGAAAGTGCTGGGACCTGCCTAGTCATTCACCAGCTGTGCCTTGTGGAGGTGCCATGGGAGAGGTGGGGGCCACGATTCAGATGGCATGAGTGTTCTCCCCTCTCCCCTTCTGCAGAAAAGAGCATCCCCCTTCGAATCCTCTACGAAAAGTACTGTGACTGCCTGACCGAGTCGAACCTTATCAAGGTGCGGGGCCTCCTCATTGAGCCGGCTGCCAACAGCTACCTGCTGGCCGAGAGGGACATCTACCTGGAGAATCCAGAAATCAAGATCCGGGTAAGGGCTGGGTCCCCAGGTCCAGATCCCACACCTGCATGCACCTCCCTCCCTGCAGACTCAAGATCTGTGATGCCCCAGGGTTCCTCAAATCCTAGCTTCATCAAAGAAAAGCATCGTGAAACAGAATTTGGGACCCACAGCCTCTAGGAATGAATCTGCACATCCCAGAGTAGTAGGATCATGACATTTAGGGATCTCAGAATTGTGGGCCCTTAAAAGCTAAACTCCTAAGGCAAGATTCTGAGGTCCTGGGGCCCTGGTGGGGCAGGAAGGGGTGGAGTTGTTAAGGGTTCAGACTCTGGAGTCTATTCATCTGTAAAATGGGTGTTATAAGGATTAGCTTTGTGTCTGCAGGAAACACATAGACTGTATCCAGCATGTCATGAGGGTGCAATAAAAGCTGATTAATACTGACCATCAGCGTCATCATGGTCATCACAGTGATTCACTTGGAACAGTCTCAGCCCCAGGTCCCCAAGTGCTGCCGTTACAAATAAATGGTAAAGAGCAGGGGGTGGCAGGGTGGGGAGTGAGTGCTGTGTGCCGGACAGTCTGCTAGAATCTTGCATAGGTTAGCTCAGTGAATCCTCGTGAGATCCCTGCAGTCAGGCATTTCTCTCCTATGAAGAAACCAAAGCTCAGAGAGGGTGGTATCTTTGCCAAGGTCACACAGCAAGGAAGGAACAGAGATCAGCCTGCTTCCAAAGCCTCTGATTTTTCCACCCCAGACCTTAGAATGAAGGAGGCACTTTACACATCCTGTGGGTCACGTGGAGCCTCTCCGCAGCTCCATGAAGGAGGAGGCCTGGGCAGGAGTCATCATCTGTGTTTTCTGGGAGAGGCGAGAAATGACAGCGGCAGAGCTGTGCAGACGTGGGGCCAAATTGCAGCAGAGATGGAGATGGCTCATTTGGGACCCTGGCTGCCCTGGAGGGGCTCTGGGCCCTTCTCCCTCTCTGGTGCCCCTGACATCCGCCCCGTGTCTCCTCCAGATCCTGGGAGAGCCCAAGCAGAACCGCAAGCTGGTGGCTGAGTTGTCTCTGCAGAACCCGCTCACCGTGGCTCTGTCGGGCTGTGCCTTCACCGTGGAGGGGGCGGGCCTGATCGAGGAGCAGAAGACCGTGGACATGTAAGTGTCCATCCCTCCCACCTGGGCCCTGGGAGCAGAGGGCGGACGCTCGTGGAGGGGACAGGTGCTCTTGGACACCGAGCCCTGGACTGTAACCCCCTCCTCTCATCACCCACACACTCACCCACACAGGTCTACGTCTAAACACCCACACATCAGCTGCATCCCGTGCACACGGCTCACACACCTGACCAGGAACACGTTCTGTCACTAAATCCCCGCCTCAGGACACACAGGTCCTCACACGCACACAGGTGTACACGCATGCCTGTGCCGTGTACCCTCACAGATAAATGTCTGTATACACATACGCTTATGAGCATCCACACTCTTACACCCTGGCACACCATTCACTCTCCTACAGACACACACAGGAGGGCGGATGGCCCAGGACCCTGAGAGCGATGAGCGGGGCCTGTTTTATCCTGTCATTATTAAGCTGTATCTCCGTGGAGGCGCTGGGCTGAGATCTCAGTAGTCACATGTCATCCCGGCCTGGCCTCATCATGGCGAGCAGGCCAGGGCCCCTGTCCTCACCCTCTTTCTCTCTCTCTCCCAGCCCGGACCCTGTGGAGGCGGGGGAGGAAGTCAAGGTGAGGGTGGACCTGCTGCCCCTCTACGCGGGCCGCCACAAGCTGGTGGTGAACTTCGATAGCGACCGGCTGAAGGCTGTGAAGGGCTTCAGGAACGTCATCGTTGGCCCCTCCTAAGGGGTCCCCGTGCCAGCCCCACCTCAGCCACCGAGGGCCCCCAACTTGACCCCAATCTTTATCCCAAGCTACTGAGCAATACTTGCCCCTCCTTGGGCCCCAGACCTCAGGGCAGGGGTGGGCTGCCTGCGTGGCCCTTTGGAATTGAATGTACTTCCCGCCTACTTTGTCCCCCTGAACCTGGCTCCCCACGCCCCTCACCTATGAGGGATGTTCTGTGCCTGCACTGTGGGAGGCCTCCTCTTGGCTGACTGGGCCTGGGGGGTAGGCTGTCTCCCTCTCCCTTCCCAGCCCAGAGGCCCCTTAAAAGGCCATTCACACCCGCCATACTGATTGATCGACGTCAGAGCCCCTTTCCGGGGAGCATGCAAAAAAAGTGTGTCCAGTGACCCGATCAAGGAACTCAGCTCCCTAGAGCACCCTGAACCCCTTCCCCAGGTTGAGCCCAGACCCCAGGGGCCCTTGGCAGAGCCTGAGCAGGTGCAGATGGGGAGGGTCCCAGGAAGACCACACCCCAAATCTCCTCACATCCCAGCGGCCCTGACCCAATACTCCCCCAACCCTCTCACAATGGTGAGGCACCTAGTAAGTGCCTGGCACTTCTTGGGCTCACTGGTGTTCACACAGCCATCAGCCCATTCAATCGCCACGGGAAACTGCAGAGCGGGGGCTGTTTTCTCAGTGAGGAGACTGGGCTCGGAGAAGGGAGGCAGCCAGCCCTGCTTCTGGGCTCCTGGATATTTGCACGGCTGGCTAATGTCAAGGCACAAGAAGGGAGCCTGGCCCTTCTGACTCTGAGTCCAGTGCCCCATCCACCACTCCAGCCCTGACCTGGCTGCGTCTGAGAGGCCATTTGGAACCTGATTAGGATAAGGAGGCTGGGAGGGCTTAGAGCCCTGGGTTCGAGCCCCAGGTCTGGCCAGCTACTGCCTTCCCCTCCTCTGGGCCTCAGTTTCCTCTTTGGTCGCAGGGAGTGGTTGAACTAGCTCATCTCCAAGGCCCTCCCAGCTCTGCACTTCCGGTGCCTTGTATGACCCAGCCTCACCAATGACAGTGGATCCTTCTCCCAGGCTTCACAGAGCCTTGGGGTCACAGACCCAGGATGCTTTGAAGTGTGAGACCACGACCATGACCACCTTCCTGTCCCCAGTCATGTCTGGCTCTCCCACCTGTACCCAGGCATCTGCCTTCGGAGCCCATTTCTAGGGGGAAAGAGACCCCCCCAGAAATCCCCGTCCTAACCATGAGCCCACCCACTGCAATGCCTAGACTTCACAATAGCCTTAGTTGCCTATGCTGATCACCCACCAATAAGGCTGGCATCTTAGCCATCTCCTCTTTGAAGAGTCAGAGTCCTGGAACACAGCCCCTGCCCCCCTGACTAAGCTCGGGGACCCCACCTGAATTGCCTTCTCTGACTTTATTCCTTACTGTCTCCACATGACTGGGCTTCCCTCAGCCTGGAGGAGGGAAGTGAGAGAGAATTCTGTGTCTGGAGTGGGGTCAGAGCCTCCAGGGAGCCCCCAAGCCCCAGAGAGGGACTTGGAGAAAGTCACGCTGATACACTTAGAATGTTCTGCTTTGCACAAGAAGAAGCACAAGATGAGCCAGTATATATTCATTCTATATAAATATTGCTCTATTTCCCTCTAGTTTTATAAACACTTTTGGGTTCCAAGCAAGCAGTAGATGTGCTTTTGAGCCACAAACAGCAAGCACTGAAATAAAATTTATTTTTCACATTCAAACAAGGTCTGGTCATGCTTTTGAGGAGAGTGAGTGGGTGAGCTCATTTAGCATCTGGACAAGCCACTTCATGCTAAGAGTCTTTCCCTAGCTTCAGTGCCTCCCTCAGATCTAAATTTAAGCAGCATTCAAAGCTCTACAACTGTCTAGCTCTTTCTTCAATCCCATCTCCAAACAGCCATGTTCAGATCAGAATGAAGTGCCTGTTTCTCTCTTAACATCCCATGCACTTTCAACCTCTTAACTTGGAGTGCCCCTCTTTTTTCCTTACCCAGCTTATGAACTCCTATTCATTTTATAATGCTTCACATTAAAGTCACCTCTTTTGTGAAGCCTACCCAGATTTCTTCTCAGAATCCTGGAACATGGACTAACTCAAACACTTATCACAGTGACTTTTAGTTCCATGTTGATATACCTGCCCCCCACTTCCTGTCTGAAGTCCTCAAGGGTGGGGACCAAGTATCTCTTAAGTAGACCCTAACATATGCTGAATTGGTCAATTGATGTGTTTCAACTCAGTTCCCCTAAGACCTGTGTTGTTCAGTAGAAATATAATGTGAGCCACAAATGCAAGCCATATATATAATTTAAATTTTTCTAGTGGTCCTATTAAAAAAAGAAACAGGTAAAATATATTTTAGTAATGCATTTTGTTGAACCTAGTATGTCTGAAACATACATGTTTAATAAACATATATAATAAACATTGTTATTGCAACACATAATCAACATAAAAATTATGAGTGAGATATCTTACATTCTTCTTTTCATACAAAGTCTTTGGAATGCAGTATGTATTTTACACTGACAGCCCATTTCAATTAGAGCTGCATTTCAAGTGCTCGGTGGCCTCAGGTGGTTACTGGCTACCACACTGTGTTACCGAGCAAGGGCTCCTGTGCCTGCCGCAGAGAAAACCAAACGCTGACAGCGGGTGTTTGCAGCAAAGTAAGGTTTTATTTGCAAGGTGCTGCTGCCAACAGTGTGTTTGGAGCTTCCCTGATGGCTCCATTGGTAAAGAATCTGCCTGCCACGCAGGAGACTTGGGTTCAATCCCTGGGTTGAGAAGATCCTCTGGAGAAGGGAATGCAACGCACTCCAGTATACTTGCCTGGAGAATCCCCATGGACAGAGGAGCCTGGCAGGCTACAGTCCATGGGGTTGCAAAGAGTCAGACATGACTGAGCAACTAACCCTTTCACTTTCTTTTCAAGCAAGGAGAACAGGCAGCTCATGATCCAAAGACCTGAAATCCCCGTTGGCTCTCAGGAAAGGGTTTTAAAGACAGTTTAAGTGTAGAGGGTCATAGGATGCATGATTAGCTGGTGGACCTTCTGATTGGTTGGGGGGGGGGGGTGGGTAACAGGTGATGTTTTAGGAATCTCAACCTTCTGGTTCCAACTAGTCTAGGGTACGTGCTTGTGGTCAGCACATAGCTTCCATCCTCCACCTGGGCGGGGGGTCTTAGTCTCTACAGAGCAACTCAAAGATATGCACCAGATTGTTATCTTCCTTCAGGAGGAACTAGGAAGTCTGTAATTTTATAGTCCTCATTGTTAGCTGCTTGAATCTGTTCCTTGGAACTTAAGGAAGGTCTAGAATACTAAAGCCTCCCCTTCACACCCTCCTTTTTTTTTTTTTAAACTAACAAGAAACAGGGGACACAGAGGGACTTTTGTACCTGGGAAATTCCCACAAGGTCCTGCTTGGTATGGTCCCCCTTTTCCTTGACACTCCTCAATCTCTAGGGGAACAGGGGTGGGACAAAAGAGGAATAAAGTTTTGAATAGAGACATTAATCATAAACTCACCTGGGGAACTCATTTTCGGGGGACTCAGTTTCAAGTGGATGGTGCCAGGTCTAGACTATTTCCCAGAGTGCAGGGACCCAGTTATTCATCTCATTCCACACCGATGAAGCAGTCATCAATGTTTGTTGATTGAACAGACTGGGAGACAGTCTCTGCCTTCAGGGAACTCATGTTGAAACACCGGACATGCAAGTAAAAAACTCAAAGTGCGTTATTACGTTTTTCAGGGTGCTGAATCTTTCTGTTCCTAAAGAATTACACCTGGGGCGTTGCTGGTGACTTAGTGGTAAGGAATCCACCTGCCAACGCAGGAGACACAGGTTTGATTCCGGCTTTGGGAAGATCCCTCATGCTGTGAGATCCAAGCAACTAAGCCTGTGCCCCAGAACTACTAAACCCGTGCTCTAGAGCCCAGGAACTGCAATTGCTGAGCCCACGTGCTTTAACTACTGAAGCACGCGATCCCTAGAGCCTGTGCTCTGCCAGAGGAGCCACCGCCATGAAAAGCCTGAGCCCTGCAACTAGAGAGGAGCCTCCGCAGCAATGAAGACACAGCACAGCCAATAAATAAGTAAAAAATTAAAAAAAATTGCACCTGGGCCTGGCCTAGATGACCTGAGCATTTTATCAATTAATGCCTAGGAGGAAAACAGAACCATTATTTCAGGTGGGGAAGGAGTTTATAAGGGAAATGGACTCCCAAGGCATCTGAGGTGCCGGAAGAGCAGAGAAGAAGGAGGGGTGCCCAGAAATCAGGAGTAGGCTGCTGTCCAGGATGCTCAACAGCCCAAGAGCCGGTCCCCCCCACCCAGCTGCTGGAGGCACTGTCACTGCAGCCCCGGAACCAACAGGGCTGCTGTGTCTACAAATGCTGCTGAAGTCAGTGCTGGCTGCAGTCAGATGCTCCGCTGGCATCTCTGATCCTCCTGCCTTCTCCCCACCGGCAGATCCTCACCAGAAACTGGCTGGCAAGGTGCTTTGGTAATTATCCTTTTTAGGCGTCCAGCCCCTGAGAAACAGAGATGGCAAGGCAAGGGTGAGGGCAGGGGAGGGAGTTGAGTAGCTGATACCTATTACTGCTCTCTCTTTAAGAACACCCGTCCCTTCATCTCCACCTAAGTAACTCTTACTCAGCTTTCAAAACCCTACTCCAAAGAGACCTCCTCTGGGAAGCCTTCCTGGACTGCAGCCAACTGCTCCCAACTCTGGTTCCACTTAGCATATGATAGAGAGCCCTTTACGATTATCTGCTCAGTCTAGCTTAGAACCAGCTGTTTGTGTGCCTAGCCCTTGCTCTGGAGCACTCCAAGAGCAGAATCGGGGCACACCTCCCAGGAGGGGGCCCCCACGTGGATTCGGTAGTGCCAGCGCTAGCTCCCAGACCTGACTCCTCCCCTTCTAAAAAGAGACAGGGCCTCTCTGGCCAGGTCTGCCTGTGCC